GAAGGGTGCTGGCACCTCCCTGTCGGCCAAGCAAATACTGTTGACATGAGTTCTTGAATTCTGGAACAGCCAACAAGAAGGCTATTAACACAGTCAAATACCTTATCCAACTGCAGGAGTGGTTGTGAAATACTGTAGTGCAGGAATCATTTCTGGGTGCTCTGTCTTAGTGAATTAATTTATGTTGGACCAACATTTGCTGCCTTTGGATGTTTATCTCGGTTCTGGTTTTAAAGATGGCGCGTCAGCAGTTACTTGCTCAGTCTGCTCCTGCTGGACTAAAGCCACCCGTTCCTTGAGCTGTCTCCCTGCCTCAAAAGCAAACCTGTTTTTCCCCCTCCCTCCCTCCCTCCCTCCTAACCTGTGTATTTCTTCAAAACTGGCTGTGCTCATTGCATCTCCTCACGTCCCCTGTCCTAGGCTGCTACAGCTTGCTCCCTCACATCTCTCTGGAGCCTTGACTTGTTAGAAGCACACAAACATGAGCTTTTCTCTCTTAAAAGAAAGCCTATTGTATCCCAGTGTTTTACAGGAGAAGTGAAATGAGACACAGCAGACGCTTCTGAGCTGGCATCTCCCACGAGGGCTTTTTCTTAGATTGAATGTCATTTAAAAATAAACCTTTTTGTAACAGTCTTGCCAGATATAGAATGTGGTGGTCCACCAAAATAAGTACCTAAAGAGTACTTAATGAAATGCTGTAAATTTGAAGAGAGCATTTTCTTTAAAATACACGTATTTTTTAATTACTTACCCAATCCAGGCAGTGCGGAGACTGTACTTCTGTTTTGTTCAGAAGTGTGATGAATACAGAAATATTTTATTGTGGGGAGATGGTTGCTCTTTTATTTACTTTTTTAAAAACTGTACGAAGTGGAAATCAGCAGCTGAAAATGAACTCTGCATAGCTGGAAACTGCTAGCAGAAACGGGGGCATGTCTTTGTACAAGCCTCAGACAGCACTCGATGAAAACACAGCACGGGGGATGGAGGGCTTAGTTAGGGTGCTACTGGGTTCCTGTATTGCTAGAGTAGATGATAAAGATAATTTCAAATGTGCTACAGCTTTTATTATTTCTAGTCTTAATTTCTGATTCGTTGATGCTGGAGCTGAGGGAGGGATTTGGTACATTTTGAAGAAATTGTGATTTACGGAATTGAAACTGAGAACTGTTTTTCTCTAGGGTGGGCTATAATAAAGTTAATTTTTAGTGCGGGAAAGGTGTAAGAGAAAAGTTTTAGTCATTTGACATGCATATTAAGAGCTAAAGCCCTTTTGTGTTAGGACAAGCTTGGGATGGCTGCGAGTCAGTGTTCGGACAGTAATAATGTGCAGGGTATGGTTTGTTGCTTTAACTGTGGTTTAAACTGGTTTTCAGATATTCCTAAGTACACTCAGATATACCCAGTGCTACATTAATCTTTTGTTTTGCTTTAAAACCTAAGGGAAGATGTATGCCAGTAGATCGTATGCTTCGACTCCGCACTGAAATGGTAGTTGGGCAACTGAGCTTTGGGTTCAATCACAGTTTGCTTGAACAGCACTTTACTGTTTGCTCCTGTATTTAAAAATGAATAAAATAAAGCCTCTTTGGGAGAACTCTCCTGTGATCTCTGAAGTGAGATGATCACTTTAAAAGACTGTGAAATTCCCTTGAAAAGTACACCTACAAATATTAATTTGCCTAATGGTTGATTAAAAAAAAGAAAGGGAGTAGGGGAGAGAGGAAAGAGTACCAGAGTATTGGGAGAAACTAGATATTGCCTTTTGTGAGCTCTTTGCAAGGTTAAAGAGACACTCAAGCACGTGGTAATGTAGCTGTTCTTGAAACTGGGTGAATGTCAAACTGTTTTCCTCAGAGGATGAAACTGATCTAATGAAGCTGTTAAACATGGGAGCCAGTCTGAGGAACAGAGTGATCTCTCATGCTTGATGGTTTTCTTAGCTCAGGGCCTATAATTATTTATGTTGTCCCATGGTTTTCCTTTGAAAGTTTAAAAAGTGTGGTGATACTGTTTCAGGCAATGTCTTAATTTTTTTTAACAGTGAAGAAAATGTGGATTTGAATTCTTTTCACTTGGATTCTCCCTGTTTGACATCCACCCAGAGAGCAGGCAGGCCTCAAAGATGTGAGAAATTCTCTGATGAAGACTTCCCTCTGGAGATAAATAACTTCTCGGTGACTAAGCCAACAAACAGATGCTGCAGTGCTACCATGGACCAAGTCAGTATTTTATTGCAGAAGGTACTTCATTAATTTTAAGGGGAATTGTGACTGATGGTAAGCAGGCAAACATCTACTGGAGTGGAAGAACTAGGGACTTGAATGATGAGACAGCAGGCTTAAAGCAGACGTGGTAAAAGATTTTTCCAAATAATTCCTTGTTGTCTCAATATGTCTTGGACAGCATAAGTATGAGTGAGTTTGAAAAAAAAAAACAAACAAAAAGCTTTTAAAATGAAAGGCTTTAGCGTAATGGATGGTGGCTGATTGGTAATTCCAGTAAAGCACAGTATTTGAGTACACTTGGACACAGTTAGTAGAAGCTATTAGACACTGTTTCTTTCTTATTCTGCCTGGTTTTCCCTCTTCTTTATGTCTGTGTTTATTCTCCCCTTTATCGCTGAAGTACTGCTGTTGTGTGTGCTATGTACACATGCATATGAAGATCTGTTACAAAGCTGACCTTAGAAAAGGCCTCTCTGTTTCTTAGAAATATCAGCATTTAGACAGAGTCTGGAGCTGTGTTATGTTGTAGTATTTTGAACAGAGACATTTCAAAATGAAAGTGATGATTATGTTATAATCCTTTGAAATAGTCCAAAAAGATCATTTCATAACTTTGACTCACTTTCTGTCTCCTCCAGGGCACCAGTTCCCCCATAAGGAAGCTGCAGCATGCGTTGGCCGAGTCTCGACAGATGGTTGCTGATCTGGAGCTTAGCACTCTCCTCCACACAAGCCCTCGCTGCAGTCCAAACAGCAGCAACGTTAATATGGTATATATTGCTCTCCCATGATGAGATTTAGGTGGCCAGGAATAGCGATTGCAAACATCCTTTCCCTTATGCTAGACTTCCCCGACTATATTGTAAGCAATATCCTCCTCACGCTTTGCTAAAGAGAAAATTCCTGCGTCCGTTAGCATGAAGTACATGAATTTTTTTGTAGGATTCTTTATGGCCCCTCAAGGTCATGACAGGATTTGACTTTTGCATGTGTCTAAACAGATGGAAGGAAGAAGGCATTTTGGAGCAAGCTGTAGGAGGTCTAGAAAAACGTGAACACAAGTATGACTTACATTCAGAACTGGTTTATTACGCTAAGTATACTTGTGGAAAGGAGGACAGTATAGGAAATAGGTGATACATAGCATAGTTTTGTATAGGACTTTAAACCAGACTCTCAGTTTAAATAACTTTAGAGTTTTTGTGGGCCAATAGTTTTAGTTTCTTCATTGCAGAGTCAGAGAACATACAGAATGTTACAAAGAAAATAACCTCTATATAGCTGTCATGGCAATTTATTTTATGAGCATGATGCTGATAGGGAGTTTCTGTCTTGAGTATGTGGGCAACAGGAGTAATTGGAGAAGGGGTCACTTGTTTGTTTTCATAAATATCCTTAAGAAGTTGTACCTTGTTTGACAAGGAGGTTGTACCACTTGTCATTAGAAATGAGTAAACTTGTGCTGATACATATCACAAAGGGAGAATTTAGGCTTTTGGTTTTAAAGCAGGCTCCTAATGAGAAGGCTTCATGCTGAGACCTCAGCTTTCTCCTGAAAGGTATTACCTCTCTCTAAAAATGTTGTACGCCTTTTATCCTTAGATGAACTTGACCAGAACAATGTTACTGTAAGTAACAGACAAAGCAATTTTGATAACATTCAGAACCAGGAAACCTTAGCTGTGCTGGGACTGACCGACAGAAAGGTTGTGTGCCACTGTTTGCCTAAACGGAAAGGATATTTTGTTCAGAAGTTCATCTGCAGGATTTCATTCGGCATGAAAGACAGCAGCAGTGTAGTTTTTTGCAAAGACTGTCATGTAGGAGGGATTCCTGAAAATCTCTCTATAAAACAGTGGTTGCTTGTGGTACGTGCCTAGCCCCATCAGCTGTCTGGCTCCCGCTTACTGGTTGGCACATCACAGCTCAGCTAAACTGACTGTCCTTTAGTAGCAAGCATGACTCTGCTTTATAACCTGATACTGCATTTTTGAGCTTGGAAATTGGCTTATTGTTTGGAACGGTTGCTGTAGTGGGTAGAGAATAAAGCAGCCTCGTGTTTACTGGCAGGGGTAGCTTCTGAACCACATCTCTAGAATTTTGATCTACTTTCAGAGCTGTTCTGGGCAAAAACTTGTCAAGTGTGTTTAGTTAATCTGTACAGGGCAACTAATCTGTGCTTAAAACTGGGTTTACCAGAGACTGTTTTAAACTGCGCTTTAAAACATATGATAGATATCAAATATAACCCTTGGAATTTAATCAGTAAGAATTTGTACATGTTGGATTCTGTGCCTTCTCCCTTGCTGGAGGGAGGAGAAGAGGGAATTAAAAAGTGTATCCTTGCTGCTCACCAGTTTGAACCTGGCAGCTCTGTAATTTTTATAATCTGAGTTCTTTGATTTTCATGTAGTGTTTTTGCATTACAATGTAGACAACAGAACTTACAGAAGCCTTTCACAGAACCCAGTTACCTGCGGCAGAAGAAAGAGGTGCTAAGCTTCCATTCTTTTCTCCATGATGTTCTGTGAGTATGAAGGTGTTTTCAACTTGATTGTTTTTTTTTGGTTGGGGTTTTTTTTTGTTTCCCTCATTGTAAATGCATCTGCAATATTAATACAAGTTACGGACTTCTGAGATGAGCCTGGCACAACATTCTAAGTGCATTGCTCTGAACACATTTCCAATAAAATTCTTGTGAGAGTGCTGTAACAGCAAACAGGTATTAAGGCAGCACGTGATTCCTTTAGTCAAATAAACTTTTCTCAAGCATGTTCCTCATCCTCTGGGCAGTCAGATCTCGCCGCTCCATTCCCGGGTACCTGCACGCTGCTTATTGTAGTTAAAATCCCTCTGTGTGTTACCGATAACAGGATCAAGGATATGAACATTGTTGAGTAAGAGATTGGGAAGTGTTTTTCAGTGCCACGGCCAAGGGCTGTTTTAGCATAGTGTTCCTGGGCTCAGAGCTCCAAAAGTAGAATGTATTGAATGGAGCCGTTTCAGAATATAAAAAGCAACGTTGCCCATAGCAGGTTGTTTTTTCCTTTTTGAATCAGGAAATTTCTCACCCTCTGATTATTTGTTCTACTAATGTGAATTGGATGCTTGCAATAGGCACCATGTTGTCTGGTTCTGAGGACAAAAAAGTAACCAGATATGGTTAAAATACCGAACACCACGTGAAACAATAAGAGCTAGCAACAATGGGGAGAAAAATCAACAAAAAAAGAAATCTTCCAGGGCTGACACAACCCAAGCACATGTCTGCAAAGGGAAGTTCTTACACAGCAAGCTGGAGTGTGAAGCTGTGTGGCACTGGATTTCTCCTACTGATCAGCTTCGATCTGGTGGGGAACTGGTGCTCAGGTCTTCTCTCTCGGTGTATTCAAACTGCAGTCCCTGAACTGTTTCTTCCCTGTGGAGCCAAACCCTCTGTGCCCCTGGGAGTGGTGTTGGTTCGTAACACCCTCCTGTTCTGCGGTGTCTGCATTAGGTCTGGAGATGCGAAGTCGTCTTTCAGAATAAGTTGCATCTGCTTAGTGCCGGCTAATGGGTCTCTCATAGGAAATGGACACTGAGTAGCTGGAATGCCATACCTTACTTGGCTATAATGTTCCTATGTAGAGAGCTCTTCTTTTCCTAAAAAGAGCCCTAAGGTAAAAGAAGCCGGAGGTTTTATAGAGCGAAGCCAGCACAGTGACTTGCATCCTGAAACTTCTGATGCTAAAAAGTCTCAGGAGCAAATCCCCAAAATTGCTGAGCACCATGCTGATGCAGCAAAGCGGTAAGCATATGCTTAGCCTACAGAAATAATCTCATTTGCTTCAGCTGAGAAAGAACTGGTGGAACAAACGTACCCACGATTCACTGTACATCCATGACAAGAATTAGTGACTGCGCAAGTCACTGGCTGCTGTGTAATTCTTATTTTCTTCATTTATTAAAAGGCACTGAATCACTCTGATCAGTTAAATCCAAAGCAGCTTTTGTGGAGTTGATAGAAGGTCCAGAAATATGAAACATTTGTGCAATTTCATATAGAGAAGTGATTGAATTGATTTTGGTTGGGTTTGTTGTTTGTTTTTTTTTTTTAATTGCTCTGAAATCATTTGAGGGCAGGTGCACTGATAAACATGAGGTTAATTTCCTAACTAGCTGACAGCGATTTCACCATTTTCATCAGTGAGTTGTTTTTCCCGTAGAGAGGGATTGGGTGGGGGAGAGTTGAAGAACAAAGGAGGAAAGCAATGAGTAAAAGGATATATTTGGTTTTGGACACCGTAGCATGTGCCACTGCTCATAAACTGTGACTCAGTGGCTGGCCGAGGGCACCAAGATCACTCCTTTTTGCAAAACAAACAGGAAAGATTTTATTTCGTAACACTCCAGTGGTGTCCCTGAGACTGTTGTCTTTCTGTGAAGTGCTTTGTTTACCTTTCTCCTCTTTATATTTTCACTCTATGCTTTTATTCTGTTTGCAGTGTGAAAATTTAGGTACTAAATTGACATACATATGATTGCCTCCTGTATTGTGGAAGAAATTTTCCTGCGTTTTCATAAAAATCTTTAATTTTCTGCAGGAGATGAAGAAGTTGCCAATACAGAATTAATTTTGAGATCGTCAACACATCAGCTACAATGGAACGTTTCCTTTTTTTTTTTCCCCATGGTTCTCTGAGTGTCTGAAAGACTCACAACTGGCAAAGAGACGTGACCATGCGGCAATATATTTTATCTTGACAAAACACAGAATTATGCCAAGATTAACAGAGCTATTTTTATAGCTGAGAGCTCAGGTTAAATACTAGCTTGTTTTTTAAGAATCTTAACTGTGTAATTGTTACAACATAGGGACTATTTTTCTTACCTTTTTTTTTTATGATGGCTCAGAAATATTTATAGAGTATGACACAGACAAGCATTCTTTTTTTGTTGTTGTTGTTGGTTAGTTTATTGTTTTTGTTCTGGAATTCTTGCCATGTAGAGAGAGATGAATAATGTTTATAGGAAGTTCCCAATTTGTGTTGTAACCAGGAACTGGCTCCTACAGTGTTGAAATGGGAGAGCTGTCACCTGCAAGAGGGACGAAACAACGCTTCCCCGGTCTGGAGCTATTTATTCTGACAAAAGCTTATAACGAGATCAGGTGTGTACAGGCTCTGTCGGCATGGTATGGCCGCTGCCAAGCATCATGTCACTGGCTTTTTAGCACTGAAACTGGTTTTATCTTTTGACTCTTGGGCAAGACATGTTCCATTATCACGCTTTGAACTTATTTTTTAACTAAAAGGTGAAATAAGCTAGCAAAGGTGATACCTTTGCTGTAACTTTCTTGCCTATTTAACACGCTGTCCAGCACATTTAGTACTTAATTTATGACGGTTCTCTGGGCCATATGACACCAGCTGCCGGAGACGTGAATGGGCCGCTCGGCCGCCTGCGGTTTGTGAGTGGTTTGTGACACCCGTGCCAAGTCCACACTGCTGAGCGCGGCGCCAGTGTTTTTCCTGCGTGGGGGCAGCTAAGGGGTGGGAGTCTCCGGCTCTGTCCACTGCCATGAATTAATTGCATTGGAATACACCACTTGCACCACGGTTTCCCCTTGTTAACTCTTTCATGTGATTTTCTGCTTTCTCTTTAATTACCTAAATGACAGCATGCTTTCCTTCCGTACTAATGGGCTCAAAATTAGTGGACCAATTCTGATCATAGCTGCTGTCCGCCAAATTCTTTCCCTCGCTGCCTGCAAACATTACCCCCAGAGGGAATCTCAGCTTCTCAGATTTTTTTCACGTTTCCACAAGCCTGTAACGTGCATTTGATTTCCCTACCTGCAGGGAAACTTTCCAGGCTTTGTCCTCAAAATCTGCTGCTTTAGGTAGGACAAAAATTCCCCTCCCAAAGCCACTGATAGCAATACTACGATGCTCACCCTGAAGGTGCTCAGCAACTGTACAGCATGTCGAGCCCTAGAGAAATTGGTGCAACTTCCTAGTGTGACCTGTGCTTTCTGGTTTAAACGTCTTTAGCATTAGTGGATGAACGCACTGAACCCACTTGTAAATGTGAAATGCTCTGCTGATGGCTTTAGAATCAACATGGACTATGACAAGCAGCCGCAGAGCCCTGGGATTTTGTGTCGGGGCTGCCCTGCGTTTGTGGAATGGGAAGAAGGGGAATATCGGGGTTAATTCATTTAGACGCCAAGTGACTTACAAACCAGCTGTATGATCTACCATGCTGTGAGTCTCATATTAAAACTCAAGCTTTCCCAAACTCAGCAGCCTTATTTCTGGAAGCGTTACAAATACTCCAGGGAGTGCCTTTGCTATTGTATTCTCGTACTGAATTATTATTAAAGAAAACAAAGCTGCTGTTGAGCTACAGCCTGCTTTCCGCCGGGGTGGATGTGCGCTCTGCCCCTTGGCTTTTCCGAAGGGAGCCTGTCCGATGGGCGGTGTGTGCGTTTGCGG